CGGTAATCAGTACCTGCTGATCTCCCCCCACCCCCACTTTCTGGCTGCCTGAGATGTGGCAGCACGACAGCAGCTGCCAAACGTGGACGAAACGACGACGAAGATATCAGTCAGCAGCAGTCCCGCTACTCAATCATAATGGAGGAGGCGGACATTGCGATGCGGTTATAGCACGACAAATAAGGTTTAACGGGAACTATACCGAGAGTGAGAACTTACATTTGGAAATTGGAACATCTCCTCACTCAAAAGGAAAGAGCATGAACTACTTGATGAATCCACAAGCCACCACCTTATAACAGTTAGACTCTCGTCAATGAACCTCGAAGGCTGTGAAATTCTCAACCTCTGCGGGTGGAAGCAATTCTGCACCAGAATCGACATCACGACTCAAGGTAGTGTTTGTGTTCTGGTACAAATTAACCCTGGCTGAATGGAAGCCTGTCAGCGGAAAAGTGGGAATCCTCGATTGAAACTGCAACTGGCTAAAGCTTTGACATTGCTACAAGCCTACACGCCCAATTTGGAGGGAGAACATGAATTTTTTCTGGAGGAAGTGGGAGGTGCTCCAGACGAAATGCCATCTACTGAATCCATCTTTCTGACGGGCGATTTCAGTGCTCTTATAGGAGCAGACATTGCAAACCTGAAAGACATGATAGGAACGAACGACTCCAGCGACCTTAACCATAAAGGCATGAAGCTATTGTGGTTTTTCTGCAAATAACAGACTCTCTGCAATGAGCACCTTCGAGCATCGAAGTATGCATCAGAATACTTGATACAGGTAAGCTCATCCGCAGAAATCAATGATAGATCTGATTGTAATCCTTTGATCATTTGATTTATGACGCTCCACGTAATGGATGCTACAAGAGAACAGTAGACCTGTCAGCCGATCATCACCTTGTTGCTGGCACCTTCGACCGTAAACGATGGAGTGTCATGCGAAGACAAGGCAGCAGAAGTAACCAGAGACTCAAATAAGAAACATTATAATCCGCGGATAGGAGAGTAAAACTTGTCGACAACATCGCACGACGGTGTGAACAGATTCTGATCACCGCTGGTGTCGAAATTGAGTGAAAGCTCTTTAAGATCAGCGTATTCAGGGCTGCTGACAAATGCTGCGGTTCCAAACGGGTGTCCTGTCGCCTAGAGGTCAGGAACGAACTTCCCGCCTGACACGACTGGTAAAACCACTGAGAAGTTCCCACTGAGAACAAGGCAGTATTCATGAAATGAAGGCAAAGAATCTTCAACCAGAATGCGGTATGAGAAAGCGCGTAAGGTGATAGTGAATATCAAAGCAGATTCTTGAAAGAAGTTCCGTGAGGTGATGGAATTGAATTTCCAGACGGCAAATAAGATATTCTCACAAACCATCCTCTATTCCCGAGGCGAAGGAAGAGCTGTCTAAAAGTGATAAAGACACTCTTACCGAGCATGATGATCATCAGTGAAGGAGAGACTACTACTCGAGACTACTCGAGCAAGACTCGCCTGCAGAGAGCAGGGGGCAGATATAACTCTTTCTGTAGAAGAAATCACACAAATGCTGTCGAAGGCTTGAAAATTGGAAAGGCTGCTGGCATCGATGAAATTCACCCTGAAATGCTTAAAGTATTTTGTGGACTAGGTATGTTTTCGATTACATGTGTCTGTGAAACTGCAGCAGACTGGAAAATTGGGTTTGTAGTACCGTTATGCGAGAATGGAGACTATAGTGAATGCTCAATTATCTGGGAATTGCCTAACTGCAACTCCCGGGTGTAGTGTGTACGCAAAAGTGTTGAAAAGAAGGTGCTGCTGAATAGCCTGCTCTATAATACAAGAATGGCAAGGGGCTTCAGGTCTGGCCGAAGCACCTCTCACCGGATATTTTCCTTATGCCAGATTGTTGAGAAATCGTTTGAATTTGTACATCCAGTTTATATATGCCTTGTTGACCAGAGAAAGCCTACGACCGGATCCCGCGAAACAATCTGTGGGCAAGCCTGCCAACACACGGGATCGATGGCAAGTTGCTGCTCCATTGAATCACCAGATGCTGATAGCAGGTGCTGTGTCAGAGTAAAGGTGTCAAGTTGAGGTCCTACGTTTGCACTGTTCCTCTTCGCAGAAGACCTTATTTTGTTGACATTTCCCGAAACCGATCTACAGTGCTCTCTGAAAATGTTCGCAACCGAGTGCCACGTGACCGGCATGCGTGTGAACGCATCTAGAACGAAAAGCCTAGTGCTTTGTCGTTCTCCTGCCCGGTGCCCTCTTCAGATTAACGGAGAGGCAGTGGAGCAGGTGGAGTACCTCGGAACTGTATTCACTAGTGATGGAAATTTTGAGGAAGAGATCGACCGGCAAATTGGAGTAGCCAGTGGCGTTCTGCGTGAACTAGCCCGACCCGTTGTGACGAAAGCAGAGCTCTCTGTCTGAAGACTAAGCTCTCGGTGTTCAAGTCAGTCTTTATCCTCATGCTTATCTACAGTCGTGAGTGATGGGCTATGACTGAAAAACGTAGGTCGCGGATAATAGCGATTGAAATGGGCTTTCTGAGACGAGTCTCTGGCCTAACGAGTGTCGGCATGGTTCAGAGTACAGAAACTAGCGAGAGTCGTGCTCCACAGCCTTTGCTTCTTCAGACTGAGTAGCCACAGCTACGAAGGTTTGGTTTGGGTACGTGTTGCAAATGCCTCCAGAAAGACAGGAGAAGAAGCAACTACTAGATGTCCAACAGAAGGGCAGAAGACCCTGAAGAAGGCCAAGAGTAACCTGAGGCGAGTGTATCGATGACTCTGCTCTAGACTCCGGTTACCTTATGCATAAGCTCAAACGCTGGCACAATGTCTGGAACATTGAAAGTACTGTCTGACAGCGTATCCTTCCACGACCCTAGAGGAAAAGTTGTCATGGCAATCGAACTGAATTCTCTGCTGATTTACTCGTTTACAGACTTAAGTACTTACTCACTTACTTATTTACACATTTCTTTACTGCTTCCCTTGCTTGCCTATGTATGACTTGTGGTCTCAATAGTCTGATCGTCTGGGTCAAATTTGCGTCGAAGAATCAACGATCAAAGCACACCGGCACAAGGTAGTGAGAACAATGGAACCTTTCCGTGGTTTCTATTGTGTAGACTGATATCTCTATTGCTTACCATGAATCAGAGATGACATTCATGAGGTAGCAGTTATCTGCATGGAAATATCGCGAATGCATCTTAATGAAGGCACTCTGTGTTCGGAAGTTCAAATCCGGAAGGAAGGAGTGCCAGCCACCGTCCGCATAAGTCATAAACGGCGGAGTGTCGAAATCATTGGATCAAGCGCAACCTGCTTCCTGGAAGGAACTTGTCTAGTCTGCGGTGCAAACAAATACTCCTATTGGCATTTTGGCAATTTCCGGCACTGAGTGGCAATGCGATGAATCATTCAGAGTATATGGTCCTCATAGCACACTGTCCAAACTCCTGAAGTAACAAATCTGTAATGCAAGTTACTCCGTTTCACCGAAGCATTTCTGGAAAAACAGACGCTGGTGACGTTTGAAACTTTTGACTTACAAA